ACCACCATCACCATCATCACATCATCACCCATTATCATCACCACCATCACCATCATCACATCATCACCCATTATCATCACCACCATCACCATCATTGCCCCATCACCATCATCATCACCGTCATCTTCACCACAGTCACCATCATCAACTTCATCGCCAGCACCATCAATTTCCATTTATTGAAGAGCTAATGACAAAAATAGCAATCATTTATTGTACATCGACTGCGTGCCAGGCTGTGTGCTAAGCCCTTTCCGTAATTTATGTCTGCTCCAGGCAAGTGCGGTGGTAGTCAGGGGCAGGGGGAAACGGGGTCTGAGCCCTCAGCCTCCACCCAGAAGGTCTGAAGAAGGTGACCACCAAGTGGCCTCCAGCTGAGTTCAGGACCAGAGCAAACTCTGCAGCCCAAAGCAAAGGCTTTTGTGCTGAGCAGCCCGCCAGGGTGCTCCCAGGCTGATGGGCGGGCAGCCCGGGCCGGAGCTCACCCTATGGATGAGGGACGAGGGACGAGGGATGAGGAAGGCTCCCAGCAGTCCCAGGCTGGACAGAGGGCAGGGCAGAGCTTAGGAGGAGGAGGAGAGGGCCGAGGCTGCCTGAATATGAGCCCGCAGTCACTGGCTGTGCCGGCCAAGGAGGGGCTCAGCCCCGGGCTCTCAGTGCTTCTCCCCCTGATTCCGAGGGGAGCACCTGCAAGCACACCTCCCGCAGGGGCTGAGGTGTGGAGGAGCCGGGAGTGTCCACTCCTGGGCGAGGACAGAGCTGCCATGAGGCAGGGAGGGAGACACGGAGAGCAGGACTGAGCAGCACATGCGGCAAGGCCTGTGATGGAGAGGAAGCGGTAAGGGCCGGCTGCGGAAGGAGTGCAGGGCTGGGGACAGGCCAAGGCCCCTGGGGTGGATGCCGAGGCCATGGGCTGCAGGCAGGGTCACTGCTGGTCCCTAGCCACAAGGCCGGAGGCCTACAACACCGCTGGCTTCCGTTAGCGCAGTGGGAATCATCCTAGCCGTGTGGTTGGAGCTGAGTTCTCACAGGTGGGGTCCAGTGGAGGAGCAAGATGAAAGCGAGTGCTCCACCTGGTGCTTGGGGAGGTTGGGCACATGGTGCCAGCAGCGGCGGGGGGGGGGGGGGTATCTCAGTCCATCTCAGCAGAGAAGAGTTGGCCCAGACCACCCTCCCTCCAGCCCTTGCCTCTGGCCCACACGAGGGAGGCCAGCCTGGCATGTGGGGGCTTGAAGAAACAGCCAGGTGGACTCTGATCCCTGGACGGGCCCTGCATGGTAAAACCACCCCTCTTCCAGCCAACCCTCCCTCCAGGCACCAAGTTCAAGCCCCCAGCCTGCTCTGCATGACACCTGCTTGGCCTGCATCACGGGACCTGCACAGAGGGGCACAAGGCCCCAGGACGCCCCGAGAAGAGCAGCGCCGCTAGCCGCAGGCAGCGGAGAGGGGGCGTGACTGGCTGCTGTGATAAAATCCTAACCTCTCAGCCCCACCCCAGACCTCTGGCCTGTGTCTCCCCTTGCACCCTACTTCCCAGCCATATCCAATACCTGGAATTTTCCTCCTGTGCATCCACAGCCCTCCTCATCCTGCCCACGGTGTTCTCCTCCCTTTGTTGTCCCAGTGAACTCCTACAGGGCTTTCAAAACCCTGCCCAGGAGCCCCGCTCCCTGGGAAGCCATGAACCCAGAGCCCACTGCTCTCTTCCTACACCAATCCAGAGCCTGGGCTAGACCTCCGCAGGCCTGAATCTCAAAATAGGGCATGTGTTTGTGTACGTGTCTGTCCACTCCCCCCCGCCCAGACATGGGGCCAGACCCCAGCACCAGGCAGGCAAGCAGCGAGGCAGGAAGCAGGGTGTCCTGTTTCCCTCCTCACACCAAGCTCAGTCGGGGTTCAGAGGGTGGGGGAGGCAGGGAGCAGCAGACTAAGATGGTTGGCTGCATGCTGTGACCCAAAGCTCCTCACACTCCCTGACCGTGGCCTTGGTGCTCTGGACCCTAGAAGAGCCAGCAAGCCCCTGGCGGTCCCTGGTCTGCAGCCCCCCTCCCCAGGGTTGGAATCCAGGCCTGTGATAATCTCCTAATGATGGCTTTCACTTGTGCAGTCTGATGGACCAGAAGGCTGGGTGTGATGCTGCCGTGCAATGGACAAGAGAACCGAGGCTCAAAGGGGTCACTGGTGACCCCAGAGACAGACAGAGCCATGAGGGCCTTGGCCAGAAGGCCCCAAGAGCAGGTGCAGGCTCTGCCTGTAGAGGGGAGCTGAGAGGCGACAGCCTACTGACGTTTCAGGGCAAAAAGAAACTTCAACCTGGGCCCCCTGCATCCCTGTCCACCTATGGCAGTGCAGCTGTCCACCCCGGCCGTGCAACTCCGCAGAGTAAGGCATATGGCTGGCCACACAGTGCTGTTACAAGAACTGGGCCCGGCACGGAGCCTGGAGCACAGCAGGCGCCCGGGAGGCCCTCTGTCCCCTCCCTCACACACTGCCCCCCGCTTCCCGAGGCCCCACACTCTAGCCCCAGCCCAGTCTTCTCACAATCAGGCCCGGCTGCCTGCAGGTGCCTGGGCCTGCCCTGGAGCCCGCGGCAACGTTAGGGGGGCAGCGGATTCGTCTCGGTGTAACCAGAGAGCGTCTGGGGCGTGATGCCAGGGCTCCAGCTGGGGCCAGCGCCAGCCCCCTCCTGGCAGCTGTCACAGGGAGGCCCCATGGGGCAGGGGTGAAGAGGGCCGTGCCCAGCGACAGAGGAGGGTGGGAGGGAGGTCTGTGCTGAGGGAGGACCCAGGACAACCAGGTAGGCTGTGGTCCAAACCAGGAGCCTCACACTCCTGGGTGGGTGCCAGAGCCCACTCTGCCCCTGAGGAGCGGGGTGACCTGGGGCAGATCACTAAAGCCCTCTGCACTTCATCTTGCGAAACAGGAGAAACACCCCGAATCGGCACGGGGCCTAGCACACCACGCTTGAAGCTGGTGGGTTCTTCTGCCCTCATGTTCTCTCCACGAGGGTGGGACCCCTCTCCCCCTGCAGGGCCAGGGCCCCCAGGGAGGCTGCACTTAGATTCTGAGGGGCGTGAGACATGGAGAGAGAGCAGTTTGTAGCAGGAGAGTCGGAGCTACCCAGCGTGGCCCCAGCCTGCGTGAGCCCAGCCCACAGCAGCCCACGCTTTGGGGCCCTTGGCTTTGTTAATACCCGTGTTAGTGCGCACACAGACTCACGTGCCGTGTGCTTTGTTTTCCCTGGAAGAGTGAGGTGAGACGATGCACCATGGTAGGAGGCCTTTTGTAAAGACAGGTGCCCCCCCACTCTTGCAAAGCAGCCCCGAGGCCCTGTGGGGGTGAGGGACACGAGGCCCAGAGGAGGGGTCCTCCGAAGCAGGGAGCCCCGAAACCGTGCTCCCTCCTGCCCGGATCTCACACAGGGCCGGCCTGCCAAGCTCGGCTGGCTCTCACGGGAGAGAAACCTGAACTCCAGGAGCCAGAGGGGGTTCACGTTCATTTCCCTGCAGCTCCCCCAGCCCGGCCCTCTGAGAACACTAGGCTGCCTCTGCTGTGCCCACTGGAACCCCAGTACCAGCTTGGGTTGTGTCCAGCGAGACACAGTGAGGCAGCTGGGACTCAGGGAGAGAGCTCCCTCTGGTGGAAGGTGCGATTGCAGACATGGACGCGGGCGGGGGGCTCTGCCCTGGGCTCAGCCAAACTTCAGCTTGCGCCCACCGCTGGCACCGAGCGCTTCCTGTGCGCTGGGCACAGTAAATCACAACCTGCAGGAAAGGCACTGAAAGCGGGTGTTAGGGTTGTCTAGAGGAGGACAGCCGCCCGGGGAGGGCATTGGGAGGGCTGAAAGGAGGAGGCAGATGCAGGTTAAACCTGGAGGAGGGGTTGTCCTGGCCAGGGCAGCGCAGAGAGAGAGAGAGAGAGAGAGAGAGAGAGAGAGAAAGAGACTGAGACTCTTAGAGACAGAGAAGCTCCTACTAACATCTGAGATGGCAGGAGGCAGGGCCGTGCCTTGGGGAGCTGCAAGTGGGCCCTGACCGGTAGCTGTGTGTCGGGGGCAGTGAGGAGCCCTTGAGCACCGTGCTGAGGGCTGGGAACCCCAGGAGGACTGGAGGCAGGCAGGTGCACACCAGACTGTAGTTTAGAAAGATCGCGCAACCCCAAGGCTGGGAATGACTTGCAGAGGACAAGACTGGAGACAGAGGCTAGGGAGGCCCGGCAGACGGCCAGGTGGCGCTGGGGACCGGGAGGAAGCAGCCTACCTGGAAGCTGTCCGGGAGGTAGAAGCCGCATGCACCCCAGAGGAGTTCAGAGGCCCGGGGGCTGTCTGTTAACCAAGGAGGGAAGCAGAGCAGGGAGCCTTGGGGATGAAGTGGCAGGGGTGCTAAGGTGTCATGGCTTAGAGGAAAGCGGACAGGTTGCATTTAACCGGTAGTAGCATCCCCAATGCTCTGACGGTTGGTGCTGGCGGAGGGGCCGAGGAGGAGGGGTCTGGGGAGTCTGAGTCCCCTGGATAGACACACAAAGAGCCCAGGACTCCTGGCCAGCGAAGGACGTGGGGGTTGCAGGGGCGAAGCAAGTATGCAGAGGCGCCCCCTCCGGCTACCAGGAGCTAGGACAAGAGAGGGGCGGGAGCGCAGGTCTCCATCAGCCGCCCCTGCCTGCAGGGTGCCGAGGTGGAGGAGAGGAGAGGGAGAGAGAGGCAGGTGCTCGTCAGTCCCACTTTAGGAAAATTGGCTCCATGATGTTTATTGCAAACTGCAATTTAGCATCCCATTCAGGTGCTCTCCGTGATTAATTACATGGGCTATGGCGGTGGAGAGGCGGGAGAGAGAGCAGTGTGTGTACGATTTTCCTCTCGGTCCCTTTCCTCCTCGGGGTTGGAAAGGTCAGAGGTGAAAGCTGGAGCCCAGTGTGGGGGGAGGGGTGGGCACAAAGGGCCTAGCACCCTCTGTGACTTCATACACGAAGCCTGGACAGCCGGAATGTGGCTTGTCCCCAGGCCACCCACGGATAAGTGGCTTCAGCTCAGACCGAGACGTCACTCAAGAAAACCCCAGCCAACCTCTGGGGACTGTTCTCTTGCAAGGCCCAGAGAGGCTGAGTGGGCACCCCACCGGCTGCCCAGGACCCCAGTTCTATGGGGAGCAACCAGGGGAGCCGAACAGAAGGTGGGCTCAGCCCCCTCATCCGGGACAGCAGCCTCTGCTCTTGCAGCCTTTCCTTACAGAAGAGACTTGGTTTCCCCCAGGACCCCCAGGCGCCCCCTCCCCATCCAGTCTCACAGCTCCTGTCTTCCCTTCATGATCCCCCACTCTCCCTTTGGAACTGGGAGGGCAAAGCACCAATTAGTTCATTTGCTTGTTTAATTGCGTAGGGAGGGAAGGAAATTAACTCCTCTACAGGGTTCTTCCCTGCAGGGCCAGCCGTGGAATGAGGGCGGGGACCCCCTCTCAGTACCCTCTGCTGCCCTGGGTACCCCATCCCCAGCCCTGTGCCCCAGATCCCAGGACACCTGGGGATGGAGTCCTGGCCCAGGGGACCAGGGAAGCTGAGCTCAGCCATGGCCGCTGACCCCAGCACATTGCTCCCACCACTCAGACCCTCCCTGCCTCACTCCAGTGCCCCTCCCCCTTCCCCTCCCCCTCCCTCTTTCACTGATTCTCTTTCTTGTCTCTTGCTTCCAGCAAAGCCCCTCCCCCGGGGGGGCCCAGGAAGGGCCAGCAGGCTCCTGGGGGGCACTGTGGCCGTGGTGCTCATCCTTGGCGTGGCTCTCGCTGTCCTCTTCGTGTGCCGCCGGCAGAAGAGCCGGCTGGGGACGCTCGGTGACCAGTGAGTGCCGATGGCCGCGTCGCCTGCCCCTGGACTCTGAGGGCTTCCCCACCCCACCAGGGAAGCAGGGGTGGGGGGGGTGGGCACTGACCCCCAAGGGCACAGGATGAGTCCTGAAGGTGCCCCCCACCCTCTCAACCTCCTAAGCAGCTGCCATGCGGGCAGGGAACTGAGGCAAGGGGGGCCCACCGCTCACAAGGTTTACCTGACAAGGGGTGAGGACAGAGCCAGGGCCCGAGAGGGGAGGGGGCACTGAAGACCTCGCCAGCGCCGCCAACGTTGTGGTGCGATATTTCAAAATCTAAACTCCTGCCAAAAATCCACGATGGACGAAACCCCAACAGCTTCCATCAAGCCGGCGTTGCCTCGGGCTCCAACACGGCTCAGCCTGCCGCTCTTACCAATTCCACTTGGGATGTCGAGATTTTGTTCATCATGGATTTGGGACTAATTTTCCTTTTAGAAACACGGCACTGGGTATTCTGCATCGTGGTGACGGACATCTCAGGCCTCCCATAATTTGTACTCGAGGTTCCATGCCCCTGGGCCTGGTGAAGACCCCTGAATGCCCACCTGACCTTTGGCCCAGGAGGCCTGAGACCCTGGTGGATCCTGTATGGCCAGGCTGGGAAGGGGGGTGGGTGGCGCCCCCTCAGCCAACTCCTGAACCCCAGCCTCACAGCCGACGCCTGGAGCAGAACCCTGGGCCTGTGGCTGCGAGTGGGGCTCAGGGACCAGACTGGGACAGAGGTGCCCCTCATTCTGTACCCCCAGGACCGATCTGCCTCCCTCCCAGAAGCTGGAGCCTTCCCCGGACAGGCAGAGCGGCCATGCACCGGACGGCAGCCAGGTGGGCCTGGGGCAGCAGGGAGAAAGACTACACTGCAGGGATGGCAAGAAAAACGGGCAGGTGGCCCCAGGGAGGGGGCCCACATGGAGGCAGAGCCTTTGCCCCTCTGCGGGGCCTGTTCTCGGGGGCCAGGCTGTGCCCCAGCCCCCATCCTGAGAGAGGACAAGGTAGGACCCTCCCACCCAGGAAGAACATCTCTCCCTTCCGGTTCATTCATCCATTAAAACAAAGTCATCCCTGGAGGCAGCCAAGCCAAGGCCCAGGTGCATCGGTCCTCCCAGGGTCAGTGTGGTGGACGCCAGCAAGGGGGATGTGGGGACCAGAGGAGAGCCCCCGTCACACCGGGAGCGCACGAAGGGCGCCCGGCGCGAGGGCGGGGAAAAGTGCCTCCTTCTTTTCCAGGTGCTCCACCTGGAGTCCGGGAGGCGGCGGCAGCAGCAGCAGGAGGAGGAGGACGAGGGAGAGGCTCTGCAGAAGCTGTCCCTGCAGCCCCCCTACTATGACCTGGGCTTCTCCCCTGCCCACCACCCCCTGGTAAGGACCACCGAACCCCGAGGACAGGGGCCCCAGACCGGGCCGAGAGCCCGAGAGGGAACGAGGATACTGGAGGCTGAGAGGCGGGGGAAGGGCAGGCCTAGGAGCCCTTCCTGGCTGTACCACTGCAGGTGTCCAGGGCCAGACACAAGACAGACCAGTGGGAGAATGGGCTTCCCACTGAGGCTGAGCCCAGTCCCTCCCAGCTTTCCCTCCCCCAGGCCCCGCCCCCCACTCGTACCCTGCACCCCAGTCCTGCCAACGAGCACCAGAATGCCAGCCGCAGCCCCTCCCCCTGGCCCCACTCCCAGCCACTGAAAGGGCCAGCGTCCACTTGAATGGCTGCCATCCCTGCCCACAGCCCATTCCTTTCAGCAGACTTGGGGGCTGGGGGCCCTCTCCCTGTGGTGCCAGCCCAGAGACCCGGACCAGCCCACCTGGGCCCAAAGATAACACACAGTCTCCTGGCACGGTGGGCGAGCCAGGTCTTTGTCTCCACATACAGCCCGCCTCCTCCTTGGCTGGCAGTGCCAACATGGGCCCATTTGGGTGCCAGATCCTGCATTTCCTTCCCTGGGTGCTGAGCCCAGAGGACCAACCCAGCCCCCACCTCCTGGTCAGAGACAGGGGGCGGGAGCCCTAGAGACTCAGAAGGAGCCGGAACTGACTGGACCAAAGGGCAGTCCTCAGGCGGCAGCCAGGCAACCCCTGTCCCACGCTTCTTCCCCACGGAGGGTGCGGCCTGCCTGTCCATCAGAGGCATCCCAGCAGCAGGGTGGAGCACCCACTGCGTCCTAGGCACCTCGCTGAGCCTCAGAGCGGTCGGTGTGGTGAGCCTGTGCTTGTCTCCATTGTGTGGATGATGACACTGAGGCTCAGGGACTGGGTGCTGGGCCTTGAATGCATGCATCCCCTAAGGGTTCGTGTAGTGGGGGCTTGGTCCCCAGTGTGGTGCTGTTAGGAGGTGGCCTGGTGGGACGTGGGCAGGTCACTGGGGTGCTGCCTTCAGAAGGGATTAATGCAGTGCTCACGGGACTCCGTCAGTTCCCACGAGAGGGTGGTTGTGACAACCATGCCCAGCCCCCCTCTGTCTTGCCACCTGCTCTCACTCACACACTCCTGCCCTGATGCCATTAGCCACGATGCAACACAGCCAGCCAAACAGAGGTCAGCACCGTGCTCTTGAACTTCCAGAACCGTGAGCAAAATAAACCTTTCTTCCCACAGTACCCAGCCTCAGGAATTTAATTATAGCCACAGGAAACAGACTAGGACAAGAGGCTTGCCCAAGATCCGCCAGTTGGTGATTGGAGAAAGCGTAACTTAAAGCCCAGGTCCTCTGCTCTCGAGTCTAGGCCCTAAGCAGGCAGCAGGTGTGCCCGAAGACAAAGGAGGGCTTGAAGAGCCTCAGGCAAACGGTTCAGGAAACACAGAGCCTCCTGCAGACCCCGGCCTCCTGTGTGCCACCTGTGGCCTGGCTGCCCCTCAGCCCCAGGAGCCCAAAGAGGAGGCCAGGTAGCCCTGAGAGCTTGGGTGCAGAGCAGAGCTGGGGGCCAGGTTGTCACTCTGGGCCACAGAAGCAGCACGGCACCCCCAAGCCTGCCTCAAGGCCGTCAGAAAGAACCTTATCCCAAGCCTGAAAGCGGGAGAGGTAGGACGGAGTGGGGAGCCCCGCTGACTCCAGAACAGAGCACACTGGCCTGCCCCCCACCCTAGTCCCCAGTCCCCAGCCTTCCTCGTCAGGGAGGGAGAAGCGGGGAGAAGCGAGATGATGGAAGTCGGCAATTTGGAGACCACGGAAAACTCCGATGGGATTCCCTGGGGCCCGGGCACGGCATGAAATCGCTGTGATGTAGGAGGACAGCTGCAGCTGGCCCTAATCCGCTCCGACGACGCCTCCGTCTCGCTCTCCGACTGCTGCCCCCGCAGCCTGGCATGCATGGCCCTCCCCGGGGGCACAGGAGGAGCCACGCCATGGCTGGCGGCTCTGGCTCAAGGGCAATGCCCCGTGCCTCGGCCCAGGGGTGGCGTATGGAGGTCCCCAGGGGAAGGCAAGCTCTGGCATCCCGGGAGGCCCCCTTGTTGTCAACAAGAGAAGCGTAATTCCTGTTAGCTCGCCCGGCGATTACACAGCCTGGGAAGGATTTATCCCCAGTCCTCGGGTTTGTTGCCGGTGCAGCATGTATACAAGGCACATTATTGATGTTGTCATCAATTCTCCCTCCCAACAAGCAGTGAGAGGGAGCCAGGCGGAGAGCAGGCACTGTTCACCGAGGCCAGGCTCCCGGGAGCCGGCGGGAAGGCTGGGGCCCCACAACTGGAGGCTCCTCCAAGCTCCGTGGCCCCAGCCTGGGTGGGCCCAGGCCCCTGTCAGTGTGGACCAGGCGCACGCTGCACACCCATCCACAGGTGCTCACTGAGGCCACAGCCCTCCCCTCCATGTCGGCATTTGGTTGCATTTGGACAGCTCAGTGACTCTAGGCTAGATCTCAGGGAGGACTTCCACAGGCCCCAAAGCCAGGGTCTGGGAGGGGAGACACTGCTCTGCCTTGAGGGACAGGGATTCCCGCCTCCTCGGTCCTGTGAGCCCGGGCAGCACAGGTGAGAGGCAGAAGACTGCACGCCACGCCTGCAGGGGATGGGGTCGAAGCTGCCGTGTGTCCCCAGCCACAGACCCTAAGGTGAGGTGGGATGTGCAAGAATCATGGGGCCACCTGTGAGGGGTCCAGGAGGAGGCGGAGCCTGCCGGTGTGAGGCTACGCTGCTGTCCCTGTGAGAAGAGGGCAAGGAGGGCTTGATTAGAAGTCTCAGAACGGCAGTGAGAATCCCCGGGGCCCCATCCAGATCAGTCACTGGTGGGTGCCGTCTGGGTACTGGTGGGCTCAGTGCAAACCCTCTGGGAGGTCGGGCAGGGTGGCAGATGGGCCTGTAGCCAACCACAGCCCTGCTGCCAGAAAGCCAAGCTGCCCACGTCCTCAGCTGCCACAGTCCACACAGGACCACTCGTCCACCCAGGTTCAGCGCCCGGCGGCTCCTGTTGCGACCCAGACCTCACGCTCCCCTTCCCATGTCTGCCCGAAAACCCCTCTCTCAGCTGCGCCCAGCGGGTCTCTGTGGCTCACCCAAGCTTCCGCCCTGAGGGCAGACCCTTCCCAGGCCCGGGGATTGCATGAGGCCGTTCAGTGGGACGACAGAAGAGGCACCCCAGTACACAGGTCCCGGAAGGCCAATACAGCCACCTCCCTACCCCCACTGACAGCAGCAGCCTGACCTGCGGGGGAGGGGGGTCACTAAACCCTGCCAACACGTGGCACCCCAGTGCCCAGGCAGCGGCTTGGGAGCAGTGCAAGGGGACCCTCCAGGCAGAGCCCCCTGGGACAGAGATGCAAGCTCCGAATCTCCCACTGGGACACATGAGCCGGGGAAAGAAGGCCCCTCCTTGGCTCCCAGCCCCTGGTGCTCTTCCTGTTGGGCACTCCGACCACTTAACGACCCTTGCGGGTGCGGCCATGAGCGGGCACTTCAGCTGGCGGTCAGGAAACTGCTCCAGCGGTGGTGGACTGTCTCAGCCCGTCCAGCCTGCTGTAGGGAAATAGCGGGTAAACATCAGGAGTGTCTGTCTCACAGTTCCGAGGCTGACAAGTCCACGGTCAAGGTGCTGGCCGTTCAGCGTCTGGCTAAGGTGCCACTTCCTGGTGCATAGATGGTGTATTCTCTCCACGTCCTCAGATGATAGGAAGGCAAGTGAGCTCTCCGGGCCTCTTTTCTTTTCTTTTTTTTTTCTTTTCTTTTCTTTTCTTTTTTTTTTTTTTTTTTTTGACAGGCAGAGTGGACAGTGAGAGAGAGAGGCAGAGAGAAAGGTCTTCCTTTGCCGTTGGTTCACCCTCCAATGGCCGCCGCGGCCAGCGCGCGCTGCAGCCGGCGCACCGCGCTGATCCAATGGCAGGAGCCAGGTACTTATCCTGGTCTCCCATGGGGTGCAGGGCCCAGGTACTCGGGCCATCCTCCACTGCACTCCCGGGCCACAGCGGAGAGCTGGCCTGGAAGAAGGGCAACCGGGACAGAATCCGGCGCCCCAACCGGGACTGGAACCCGGTGTGCCTGCGCCGCAAGGCGGAGGATTAGCCTAGTGAGCCGCGGCGCTGGCCATCTGGGCCTCTTTTATAAGCACACCAACCCCGTTCACCACCACCTGGGGAGTCAGGATTCCAGTGCAGCACTCTGGGGGTGGAGCCCCGCGTTCAGGCCCGAGCCTGGACCACCATTCTCTAAACACCATCTGGCTTCTAAAGGCCAAGACTGATGAATTCAGCAGATGACCAACCACCTCTGCCTTTTTTTTTTTTCTGAAAAGATTGATGTATTCATTTATTAAAGTGCAGAGTGGCAGAGATAGAGGAAGAAGGAAGGTGAGATCTTCAAACCCACTGGCTCACTCCCCAAGCATCCACAACAGGTGGAGCCAGGCCAGGCCAAAGCCAGGAGCCAGGAGCTTCTTCCAGGTCTCCCTCCTGGGTGGCAGAGGCTCAAGCACTTGGGCCATCCTCCTCTGCTTCCCAGGCCACCTGCAGGGAGCTGGATGGGAAGTGGAGCAGCTGGCACTTGAGCCAATGCCCCGGTATGGGATGTGGGCATCTGTGGCCCACAGCGCATGCCTGCACCCCCATTTCTGATTTCCTCTCTCAGCTGATGAGGGCAGTTTCGGGGATCTCCACTCGGCTCTTACCTCACAGGCCAAGAACTCGGTGGGGGTTAGTGTGTCAGCCCCAGTCCCGCACTTGTGCTGTGCTCCCAGCAGTGAGCTTGCCCCATACATCGCCGTGTGGTCCTGGCTGGAGAACTGAATCCCATATCCTTGGAAAATGCCGAGTGCACGAATTCCTGCTTATCCAGTCTTTGGCTCCTTGATCAAGAACCCTCCAAACCCAACCCAGGAGTGCCCTCCTGGCTTTGGCTGGCACCTGCTAGCCGGTTCCTGCCACTGTGCTCCACAGCGTGTGGTCTCTCCCTTCTTGATCACGAGCTGGGCCGTGGAAGAACTTGACCCTGCTCTCGGCCTGCCTCCAGGAACAGCGGTGGGCAGCTCCTGTTGCCTCTGCACTTGACCCCAGCATGGGGCAGTAGGAGCTCTGACCAGGGCAGGGTGGGCCTCGTCTGTCTGCTCTTAGGGACTCATCCTCGGAGGACTTCTTCCCTCCGTCCCAGCCTTGGTCTTTCCCAAGCCCGGCCCTTCCTGGCCCAGCAAACCTGCAGTGGCTAAGCATGCCTGGGGCTGTGATCCTTCTTGCACACCCTGGGGCTGCTCCTCTGCTGCGTCCGCTCTGCCACATCTCCGCAGGAGGCTGCCAGAGGGTCTGTGGCTTTAACTGCTGAAGGCCCTCCGTCCCTGCTGTTCTCAGCAGATGTCCGCGTGACTTCGGCATAAGCAGGGCTGGACACCACCTCCACCCCCCGCAGGCCTTGTGCCCTGCTTCTCAGATGCCTGTGTCATGGGGGCTGGAAGTCTTCCCCACCAGCACGCTCTCCCAGGTCGCACATGACTGGGCCACGGCCTCTCTGGGTGCCACTTTCCACTCAGGGTGAGGGCCTCCTTGCCAGCAGGCAGTGAGCAAGCCAGGCTGGCTCTAGAAAGCTCAGAGGGCCTGGGGAGGAGAAGGAGGCAGGGCAGAACTTTCCTTTGAGAGGACTCCGGGGCTCACACACTCACCTTAGCCCCGCATTGTGTCCCTGACCATGGCCACTGCGGGGCATGAGATTGGTACTGGGGGGGGCAGTCGGGACCTGGCGTAGGAGGGGGAGCCCTGGGGTCCATGGGTAGTGATATTGCTTACATGCATTTGGTTTCCCCATTGTGCAAGCACATCCCAGGCTCAGGGGCCAGCACGTGGCACCATGGTTAACGGGGTGTCTAGGATGCCGGCATTCACAGCTGGAGGACCTGGGTTCAAGTGCTGGCTCTGCTCCGGGGTCCAGCTCCCTGCTAATGTGCATTCCAGGAGGCAGCAGGTAATGGTCAAGTGCTTGGGCCCCTGCCGCCCACACAGGGGACCCAGATGGAGCTCCTGGCTCTCAGCTTCCGCTTGATCCAGCCTCAGTTGCCACGGGCATCTGCTAGTGAACCAACCAATGGATGGGAGGCCTCTCTCTCTCTCTCTCCCTCCCTCTTACTCTCTCTCTGTCTTCTCTGCCTTTGAAATAAATAACTAAATGATCTTTTCTAAAACTGAAAACCTAGGATGGTTGGTGGATGAGCAGGGGGCCAGACATGCCATAGTAAGGGAACCCAGCTGAATTCAAAGCCAGGCCACCGACTCCGCGTCCCACTGGTGCCACCACCGCTCTGCTGAAACCGCCTCCGTGACCCCTGCTCTCTGGGCTGGCCTCCCCACTCTGCAAAATGAGAAGGGCCTTGAGAACCCTGGGCCGGGAGAGCGAGGCACCCCTCCCGGGGCTAAGGGGACGCAGCTCAGCAAGGCCTGGGGACACTTTGTGACAGCTTTGTGAGCACGCTTCCAGACCCTGGTTTTCTCTGTGGGCACTGATCCTCGGCGTCGGCTTCTCTCCCCACCCCCACCCCATCCCCCCACCCCCGCACGCCCACACCTCCGGGCTGCTTCCTCCTGGTCCTCCCCGCTTCTCGCTTCCTGCCGTCTCTCCCCGCTGTCTCATTCCTAGGGCTCTGACCCAGAGGACCCCGATGTCTACTACGCAGAGCTGGACACCTCCGCCCTAGGACAGGTGCCAGGGCCACGGCCCGCCGTGCCGGGGCCCGGAGAAGCCGTGGAATATGCCACCATCCAGCTGAGCCCGGCCTAGCACACAACGTCGCGCTGCCCAGCCCTGCCTCCGGACTCCAGGTACACCCTGCCCACCGCCCTGCCGCCCTTCCCGAGCAGTCCTAGGGCTGGCAAAGCAGGATGGGCCCTGGCACAGCCTCTCTGGTGGCCCCTGCAAGTGTCCCACACCTCCCAAGAGCTAGTTAGGGTCCCAGGACCCGTGACCAGCCAGGGCTTTGCCCCCAGCACCCCACACGCCATCGCCAACATCCTCTGCAGATGAAGCCCCCAGCCCCGCTGTTAGGTTTGCAGGAGTGACAGGCCAGTGGGTGCGGGGACCTCCCTGGGGGCCATCTGCACAGCCGCTCCCAGTGGGCTGGAGTTGGAAGCCGGCTGTGTCCCTCCTCCCAAGGAAGGGACACCGTGGGCCTGAGGAAGGGGCTGGGCGCCAGGCACAGGCTCCTCGCGCCCCAGAGAAGCAGGCTCCACGGCACAGCTTCTTGTGAGGTCCGGGCCCCCAGGGAGAGGCTCAGAGTGGGGAGACAGACTGGGGGCCCAGAAAAGAGCCATTAATCTCATAAATCCTAATTTGGACGCCCTCCCGGCCTCTCTGAAGTACACGGGGCCGGGCGGGTATAATCCTGGGTGCTCCTGGCACAGACCCAGGGAAGGGTGGGGTTCTGCTGCCTACTCGCTGGCTGTCACCGGCTCCGTGGAGCTAAGGGGTGCGTCCTAGCCCCAGAGAGGCCCCCTGTTTGGGTCCAGAATTGGAAAGGTGCAGGATCAGTGTACCCAGGACAGGGGGAAAGCTGATGGAACCACTGGGGAACGGGCCCCGGAGAGTGCTGGGGCCGGGTGGGAGTGGGGAGGGGAGAGGGAGGCAGGGGCTGCCAAGCCAGGAAGACTCTGCACACGGCGTGCTTGCCCTTGCCTGCCCATGGCAGCCCCACAGGGGGACCGAGCCTGTGAGACAGGAGCAGGTGCCTGGCTGGACCGGCAGCCGCCCCTCCCCCGCCCCGGCCTGCCTCATCCCTGGGCCAGTTCATGCCTTCCATGTGTCCAGGAGCTTGTCAGAACTCCTGGGTTCTTGGACACCGACAGTCAGCCTGGGGCGGGGGAGGGGGGAGGCAGCCATAAGAGAGTGCTAGGAAGGCCAGGAGGAACGTGAGGCTGGGGGCTGGCGGCACCACTGTGCAGCCCCCCCTGCCGCCCAGAGCCCTGGACGGAAGAGGCTGGAAGCTGGGGCCGCACAGCCCTGCTGAGCCGGCTCCCAGAGCACACACTCAGCCCTTTCCCCACCTTTTGCTGGTGCCCAGGCCTGGCCCTCTCTGCCCACAGCACTGCCGTTCCCCGGCAGCTCTCTGCTGTCACACATCTGTTTCTCTCTCCCCCACACCCCTCCCTGCTCTCACCCGGCTAAAGTGGCCGGAACTTCAAAAGGAGATCAAAGCTGGGCTCCCCCCATCAAAGCCCCGGCTCTGCCACGAGCAGCCCTGGCGCCCTCCCATCAGCCTGTAACTCTCCCTGACAGCCCAGCGCCAAGCAGCCCGGCACCCCGGGAAGGCACTGGCAGCCAGGACCCTGGAGCTGGTGGGGAGGCTGCAGCACCTGGCACGCAGAGGGCTGCTGGAACACGGATACGGCCGCCCCTTGCTGGCTGTGTGTCCTTGAGCAAGGGGCGCACCTCTCGGGTCCAGAGTTCCGTTCCAAGCAGGGCTGCTATGGAATCTACATGCTTGTGGAGGAAGCGCGGGAGAGAAGGCAGGTGGACACGACCTGCTCGGTGGCTGTCCTACAGTGCTGACTGCGTGAACTGTTGCAAGTCCTCCAGCGTGGGAATGTGTGAGCAGATGCCACACAGAGGCTCCCCTGAACCCCGTGCTCCGGTCCCCAGATGGGACCCCAGTCCAGGCGGCCGTCTCTCTCTCAGCCTTGGTGGCACGGTGAGCCCAGCTGCACACATCGCTGAAGCGGATGATGGCGGATGGGAGGCCAGGGTTGCATTTATGCAAGGCTTCTTGGCTCCCAACTTCAGGGAACTTTGGGGACGACGTGACTTGAGTAAACCTCCCAAAGCCCATTTGCTCATTTGTAAAATAAGGGGTTAGCAGCCTCAAATCCTCCTTAGGAAGCAGACTGCGTGCACATTATAATTTTAAAGGACTGGGGAGACAGAACTCAAGGATCTCTGAGGGGCTGATCTGCCGTCTGCGCCACTTCCCGCCCGGACAGGCGTGCATGTGTGCGTGCTCCCCGCATCTCTCCCAAGGCTCCCGCAGCCCCAGAGGTGGCGTCTGCAGTCCCGCTCTGCTGGCCAGGTGACGGGCTCTGGGCGGTGAAGGAACTGCCTAAGACCACGCGATTTGTACAGGCGGAGTCTGGAGGCTGACCCAGCCTCTCCCAGGCTCCTCCCGCCCAACTCCTTAGCGCCTCCCACACACCTGCCCCTGCTGCGCATCTGGGCCCCGCCCCAAGGCAGACCCGGGAAGGGATACCCCCAGTCCGTGCTCTCCCCCACACAGCCGTGCGCCCTGTGCAGCTCTTCAACACCGGGAAGGGATGGCATTGTCATGTCCATGTTCATTTCAAGTGAAGCAGACACGCCTGGCTAGAGCTTCCGTCCTGGGCGGTACAGAGGCACCCCCGCCGCACAGGCGCCTTCATCCTGGAGACCCCTGAAGCAGCGCCATGGAGTGCAGCTTTCATATAGAGAATAGGATAGGATAGGATAGAAGGGCAAGGGAAAGTGCTGCCTCCCGAATTTCCTCAAATGGCCCAGGACCCAGAGGTGGCCAGAACAGTCAGGCTGGGAGTGCTTCCTGAAGCCCCCCGCCCAGTGAATGCCTGGCTCCTGCTGTGCCCGCGGGCGCCCCCTCCCTAAACTTCCATGAGTTTCCTTGCCTTTCTGAGCATGGCCTTGGGACCCCTCCGGAGTGTTAGGTCCCACAGCACGGGAGTCACACAGACCAGGGGGGGCCAGGGACAGAGGGCTGGGAGGCAACCCCCCCAGCAGGCCGCCAAACGGAAGAACTCCGGCCTCAGCCGTGGATAGAGCGCCGTACCACGGCCCTCCTATTTCTCAGACCCTCTGAATTGGTGAGTGGGGGGCCGGAGCTCCCCCTGCTGGGCGGCCCCCGAAGCGCGCCGCAGCCTTTGCACACCAAGCGCCTCTCCGCCCTCCGCCGGGTGAGCTGCCCCAGGGAAGACACCTGGGACTGCCAGTGGGGGTGGGAGCCCCGCTGCAGCGACCCGCGGCACCCCGAGACCTCCCCATCCAGGGCTCAGGGTGGTGGGGTGTCAAGTGACCCCAGGAACAAACCCCTCCCCGTTGTCCCACGCTCCTCTCCGGAGACAGCATCCTTCTTGCCTTCTACCCCGTTCCCCTGGACGCTGGGTCAGGGGCGAGACGGGTCAGACAGGCCTTGTGCAGACCCTGCGCTGCCACTTGCTCCTTAAGGTCCCTGAGTCCGCGGGAGGAGAGGGGCGCCCCGCGAGGATGCGCAGTGGGCAGTACTTGGCGGGGGCACTGGTGCTTCCCGGCTCTCGTGCCCTGCCTTCTCCCCTCTCCTCTTTCCCTGGAACTTGAGCGCGGGAGCCCCCACCCCCAGGGCCTCCAGAGCTGACTTCCGGGAAGCCCCCCACCCCGGCGCGCCCAGTCGCCCCCTCCCTCTTTAAAGGGCTGCCGGGCTCTGCCCCTCCCTCCAGCCCTGTGCATGGAGACACTGCCAGCCGGACCCACTCCCTGCACATTCCGGTGTTGGCCAACCAGGCCGGGGCAGGAGCTCCTCCTCCATCCCAGGTGCTCTGCTCCTGCCCAGACCCGCAGAGCCCTCAGCCCCCAGCCCCACAGGCGGCGTGTGGTGTGGACTGACAGCTGGGGGCACACCTGCAGCCTGGGAGGGGGAGGTAGGTGTGCCTGAGTGTGTGCGGGTGTACACCGCCCCCGCCCCCACGCACGGGCCAGCAGCAGGCCAGGCTTCTGGCCCCAGACTCCTGCCTTTCCTCCTATGCTGGGCCATTAGGAAGAGGCAGTGGTCCCTGTGAGGCAGCTCCCCTGGCTACCCAGCACCCCAAAATCACCTCCAAACCCAAACACCCAGGCCAGGTCCATCTTCCTACTCCCCACCACCTCCGACGCCGTGGACAGGTCCCCTGGAAGGGCCGAGCAACTGAGGCCAGCAGGGGTAGAGCCTGGACTCTCAGCACCCGAGTACCGGATGTAGCTGTCCTTGCTGGCCAGACGCCCACCCCACACACTTCTCAGGAGCTCTCTGAGGTCGGGGGCTTTTTTTTTTTTTTTTAATATTTATTTGACAGAGTTACACAGAGAGGAGACATAGAGATAGAAAGAGATCTTCCATCCACTGGTTCATTCCCCCAAATGGCTGCAACTACCAGAGCTGGGCCAATCTGAAGCCAGGAGCCAGGAGATTCTTCCAGGTCTCTTCACATGGGTGCAGGGGCCCAAGGACTGGGGCCATCTTCTACTGCTCTCCCAGGTGCATTAGCAGGGAGCTGGATCAGAAGAGGAGCAGCCGGGACTTGAACCAATGCTCCTATGGGTTGCCGGCCCTGCACATGGCGGGTTTACCGGCTACACCACAGTGCTGATCCCCTAAGATCTGTTTTGGGATCTGTAGGAGGTGGAGCCCTACTCTGACTGAGGGTCAGGAGGGTGAGTGGGAGAGAGGCCTGGGGAAGGCCAGGGCCTCAGGAGTGAGTGTGGGGCGGCCACTGGGAAAGGAGCGCCCTCTGGTGGGCCCCAGGTAATCATCTCCACCTCTGGCCCTGCCTGCCCAGCAGCAAAGGGGCTGGGGAAGGCCACACCATGACCGCCCCCACCCCGCACCCCCTAGACCTGAGAAGGAACATGCAGGTCAGCTGACGTCGGTCCATCCTTATGAGCAAGAACAGCCCGTGCATCAGAGGCGCCGTGAACCCATCAGCCAGGCGTTGGTCCACAGGAAGACAGAGCCCACGACGAGGGGACCCCGGCTTGCGCTGGTGTTGGGGCGCTCCCTCCTCAGCCCTGTTCCTCCCAGTGGGGAGAATATTCTAATATGCTAATCCACGGATCCAGGGGAGACGGACGGTGGGGCAAAACTGAAAAAGCAAAATAAAACAGAGGGGTGTTAAGGTTCAAAACTCAATCGCACACGGTTAGGATTAGAGATTCCTGGGTTAGTTGCAGTTTGCGTAAACCGTTTCGTTGGATGCCTGCTTAATGAGTTCATATCTTTTTGGGTTTGCTTAAAATGTAGCTGCAGCTCCAGGACTGGCTAACTCAGCCGTTCAGCGACTACGTCAGCACCCCCATTTGTGTTTGTTCTCGTGTCTGTTTTGGTTTTGTGCATGTCTTCTCTGTTCCCCTCGGCCTGTCCACTTTGTCTTCAGTTGGCTATCTCCATGGTCACAAGAGAGCTGCCCCAGTTCCAGGCATCACATACGGGCCCAGCTCTTCTCGTGTGTCTTTCTGACACCTTTTGCAGACTCTCCGAGCAGGCTTTCCTTGCACCTCATTAGCTAGAATTGTGTCCCATGTCCAAGGCTTTGCCTAAATCATTCACTGGGGGGGGTGCAGCAGATGGGCTCCCCACGACCCCTTAGGTCGGCTATGATTCTCTCCTTGGCATGTGGAGAGGTGGCTACTTGATTCAAATCAGATTCTGGATTAGGAAGGAGAGAAGAGGCTGGTGGGGAGAACAGGTATGATCAGGTGCCTAAAAGTTCCTGCTGTGGTGGTGGTGAGCTCCCCGTCACTGGAGGCATACAAGTGAAGACAAAATAAGACCCACCAGAGATGGAAGAGGAGATTCTTGCCGTGGGTCAGGGTTGAAGGAGATGAGCTTGAGGTCCTTTGTAGTTCAGAAGGTATTGATCTGTGTATCACCAATTCTCTGTGGCTCACACATCTGCACCTTTCCTTGATGGAGACCCCATCTGCTGATGAGACCTCCGGGAGGAGGCTTTGTGACTGACTGACCGCTCCCCACAGCCCAGGGGTATCCCTCAGCGTCACACTGCTCACCCGCCTCTCTCTCAAAGACCCCTTCCTGGTCCCCTCTCCACCCCTATGGCGTCGGGGCAGCTCACACGGCCCCAGCACGTTGGAGGGAAGACACAGGGGGAACCAGACCAGGGGCTCTGGAGCTGGCCTCAGCCTCCTTCTGCCCGGCCCCATCCAGGAGCACGGTTGTAAGCAAAGGAGCTTCCTCTCCCCCTGCCCCGGAAGGAGTATCCCTGCGTCCGCTGGCATCAACCGCAATACACAGATAGCGGGAGACAGGCAGCGAGCTCACCACGTGCGTGGCGGTGTCGCAGTAGCCCAGTGAGACGCAGAGGCGCGTGCACCCAGGGAAACAGGGGTGTGGGCAGTGTGGAGCAAGGGTACACGATTTTAGGGGAGTAGGATGGGCCCAAAGAACAGCCAGCAGCCTTGGACAAAGTCTTCCTTCCCACGCGTTCAGCTTCGGGGGGTCCATCCTCTGGGACACTGCAGAGGGAGCCCCTACCTGTGCTGGGGTGGGGGAGAGGCCAGAGAGACCTCAGCTACAAGGCTGCTTTTTGTTAGTTCCAAGTACTCAGCGTGTGTGACAGAGCCACACTCAGGGTGCTGTTCCAAGTACTCAGCGCGTGTGACAGAGCCACACTTGGGGTGCTGTTCTCACAGCCCCCACAGCAGTGACTGGCAGGGTGGGGCCAGTGATGTGAGACAGGGGAACCCAAGGAGGACCGCCCATTTGATTCCCGACTCAGAAAGCTTGTGGTGACGGGAGGAAGGAAGACAGAACACAGGGCGGAACTGAAAAGTGGTAGATTCTGTTTCCAAAACTCACGTGTGAAATCAGCCAGCTCTATCCATTCACACGGAGAACAGTGGCCCTCGACAGCCGGCAGTGACAGGTGAGCGGAGATGGACAGAAGGTGCCCTGGGGACACACAGGAAGACCGAGGTTATTAAAAATCAGGGCAAGTGACAGCCACAGCCAGAAAAAGTTAGTGTCCAGATCTGATCAGTGGTGCTTGCTGGGACGGCGTGTCCCGTCAGGGAGACCAGGTGTCCAGCGAGCCGACAAGGAGACGGACGGACAGATGGACGAACTGATGTGGCGCCTCGTGCCTGATGAGAAACCTGCAGCCTTGCTAGCTGTGGAGTGGGTAATGCGTGTTTAAGATAGTGACGCCTGAATCTCTGAGGGTCTCCTGTATGTTGGGCCTGGGGCCAGGAGCTTTAGGTACCGCACCTAATTCAACAACAATCCACGTGCTCTCTTAATGTCTAGTGTTCAGAAACAATGGTCCCAGGGCCAGTGCTGTGACATAGTGGGCAAAGATGCCACCTGCTGTATCGGCATCCCATATGGACGCCGGTTCGAGTCCCGGCTACTCCACTTCCAATCCAGCTCTCTGCTATGGCCTGGGAAAGCAGTAGAAGATGGCCCAAGCCATTGGGCCCCTGCACCCACGTGGAAGTCCCAGAAGAAGCTCCTGGCTCCTGGCTTCCACCTGGCCCAGCTCTGGCCATTGCGGCCTTCTGGGGAGTGAACCAGCAGATGGAAGACCTCTCGCTCGCTCGCTTGCTCTCTCTCTGCCTCTCTGTAACTCTGCCTTTCAAATAAATAAATATTTAAAAAGAGAAAAAAGAGAAACAATGGTCCCATCCCTGCCCCACCTCCTTACCTCCCCACCCCACCTCTACAATCGCCCCACCCCCATCCCCAGTGTTCTCCAAGGTTCCTGAGTATGGAGAGGACCCGGCCTCTGCACGATTCTCTCTCATTTTGATTTCTTCTCCCCAAGTCCTGTTCTGACTCAGTTCGTGCCTTTTTGTCTCCTCGGTGACCTACAGCAGGGGTCACCTGAACCACACTCAGGACAGGGAGGCCCAGGAGAGCTCCCTGTAAGAAGTGGCGGGTGGCGTGGCGTGCCTCTTCCTTTTCCGTAATTTCCCCCAAACATGACTGCCCGGAGGCAGAACTGGTAGGAGAATTTTAGCCAAACTCAGAAGTAACTGAGGTGGGACTTTTTTAAGTCCAGCATGGGGCTCAAAGTTTCAAAAGTCCGAGCTGTGTTGCAAGCCCCTGCTGTGCCAGTCACCTCTCCTGCTTCTTTCTTCAGCCTCCCCCCGACCCCGCCCCGGGCCTCGCCCCTCCCGGCTCCCAGATTAGGGCAGCTCAGCCCCTTTCTTCCCACATCCCCCACTCCGGGGGGGGGGGGAGCTTCATCTGTCACCCTCCGTGGGCCAAGTCCAAGGCAAAGGAACCTGTCTCGCTGGTAGGCTGAGAGCCTTTCTCTGGGGGTGCGTAAGCGGCCAGCCACGCACACCTGGCTCCCAGCAAGCTCAGGCACCGGCCCACCCCTTACACGGGAGAACATGGGTGCTCGAAAGAAGTGCGCCACAGTCCCCAAGCCGGGGAGCCGTGACCTCTGCATCTGACTAGGTCTGGGGGCGGCAGAGCACCCGTTTCACTCACCCTCATCCTCAGAGGCGGGGTGGAGGGCAGCTTGGAGGAAGGGGCGCCCACCGACCACTGTGACAGCCGCCGCCTCCCGCGCTAGTGTGGGGGCGCAGGAAAGGGCAGCAGGGGCTGACCCGAGGGTGGGGGGTGAGCAAGAAGGAGGCAGGAATCCCGCCCAGGTTCCTGACAGGCACCTGAGGAGCTGCTCGCTGAGATAAGAAGGGAGGAGGCCAGGTTCAGACTGCATTCAAGTTCACACATGTGGAGGTGGAGCGCGGGGGGAGGGGGGCAGGAATCCAGGCAGAGGTGTCCACGAGTGGAGCAGCTCGGAGACAAGCCCGCACTGGAGAGGCAGCCGCGGCCCATCCGCCGGAATTACAGCCATGGGCGGGATGAGCTCACGCGGGGGGAACGTGCAGAGGGAGAGGAGCCCGGGCCCCCGCAGCGGAGCTGCTGGCCCTGGGAGGGAGTTGAGAGACGCCAGCCAGGTCCAAGGCGCCAAGGAGGGCTCGGGTCAGACATCAGGAGGGTGGGCTTCTGGGAGCAGCGTCCATGTTGCCCCCACCCCACCCCCACCCCGCATCACTGGGGCTAGAAGCAGAGGGTGGGGCTGGGGGATGGTGACTTCAGGGGCCACATTGCAGTGTGGAAGGAAAGTGAGTAGGAGGGAGGGAGAGAGAGGGAAAGATAAGATGTTGTCTGGAGAGCCAGGTGAGAGAGGGTTTGCTTTGTTTGGTGGAGGAGGGAGCCGAGAGGCTGTAAAAGCCAGCTGGCCGGAGCCAGCAGCAGCAGCGTGCAGGCGTCCTTGGGGGACGCCGGCAGGAAGGCAGCCTGGGGGCCCAGCAGCCTGTCAGAAACACTGAGCCCAGTCCATCTGTCCTTCTGAAACAGCCGCGGCAACAGAAGCCCACGGTGCGGGGAGGCAGGTGATGAGCCAAGGCCTGGAAGGAGCAGACCTGGGCCCAGGGGGAAGCAGCCGCAGCCAGGCGGGGGAGGCACCCACGCCCCGCCCCCAGCACCCGCAGCACTGCCCCTGCCACTCGGCCCGCTGGGTGCCTACAGCTTCCTGGAGCCACCTGGTCCCCAGCACCCTGGCTGCTGGCGCCTCGATTGTCCCAGGGCCCTCCAACCTGAAGACCCCGAGTCCCGCCTCGTGCCTGCCCTCCTGACACAGCCCCTGGTGATGCTGCAGCCCCAGCTCCTCCTGCTCCTTCCTGCCCTGAGCGGCCTGCAGTCCTCGCAGTCCACGTTCGTGCCGGATGCCCGGCTGCTGCCATCCTGTTTATTCTGACAGCCGCCCTACACGATGCCCTTCTGTTCTGTTCTGTTTGTTTTCATTTTATTTCAAAGGCAGGGAGACAGAGCGAGATCTTCCAGCCGTTGCTTTACCACCCGAATACCTGCCGCAGCCTGAGCTGGGCCGGGCTGAAGCCAGGAGCCCAGAACTCAGCTCAGGTCTCCCGGATGGGTGGCAGGCCCCCGACTACTTGAGCCATCGCCTGCTGCCTCCCAGGGTGTGCATCGGCAGGAAGCTGGAATGGGAAGCGGAGCTGGGACTCAGACCCAGGCTCTCTGGTGCAGAGTGAGGGCAGCGTCGTAGCTGCTAGGCCAAACACCTGCCCCAGTTCCTCCATTTTATAACAGGAAATGGAGGCCCAGCGTGCCCGTGGCTAAAAATCACACAGTTTGTAGATGCCAGAACCTGAACCCACCACCCTCGGGGGCTCTGCTTGCCCTCACCAGGGCCTCTTGCAGCACCCGTGACCTCGGCCTCCTCCCCCTCCCCCGGTTTCCTTGCACCCCCTCCCCCTTTCTGTCCCCGCCCCGTGGTGGGAAGTGTGTACTGAGGGAGTGCGGGCTTGGCTACGGGCTTGTAGCTGGCTACCCTGCTCCAAGCCCAGGTCTCCTCCTCAGAGAAAGGAGGGTGATCCTCGGGGCCCTGCCCTCCCCAGTCAGGCGCTGGGCGGATTAGGTGAGGTCAGAGATGGGAAAGTGCTTCCCGGGCGCTCACAGGCAAGGGGTTATTCTTATCAAAACCTCTGTGCCCAAGTCCTGGCAGCAGCAAATTACAGGTTAGCGCAGGCTGCCGTCTGCGTGTTTCCTGTCCCAGGCTGTTCACGCCGGGAGCCCTTTGCTGGCTGTGTAATGAAAGGGCTTTCCTCTCCTAAAGGAATTTCAGCTGTCACCTCGCAGGGAGCAAAAGGGGGCGGGGGCTGCCCCGCACTTCTGTGCAGCCCGAGGGGTGGCAAGACTCACAATTAACTGAGCACTTAGTATGTGCCGGGCACCGAGCCAAGCTCTCTGCAGGCCGCACCTCATTCATCTCTCACAAACCCTTAACAGGAAAATACTATTTTTACTTTACAGGTAAGAAAATTAATTTATCTGAGATCACAAAGCTTTGAAGTGGTGAAGTGAGAACTTGGAGCCGGGCCCGTCGGATGCGAGGGCTCACGCCTTTCCCAGGAGGAAAGCCCCATCCTGCCTCAAATCCCTGCAGACAGTGCCCTCGCCCGGCCCCAGCGGCCGCAGCGCCGCACCCCGGGCCCCTTGCGGATGTCTGCCCTGCCCGCCCTGCGCTGCACTGGGGGTCTTGGAGGACAGGGACTGGGTTAATTCATCTCGGTCCTCCCAGGCGGTAGCCCCCGGCTGGGGCCGGGAAAGGGCGTGGATAAAAAGTTACTCAGCGATTGAATGGTCAGTGGATACCTTTTGTCTTAAGGATAAAATCACGACTCTCACACAGATAGGAAATCCACTCGTGTCCAGCATTTTGCTTAATTCCTTCATTAACGGAGGAATGAGCAGGATGGCAGCAAGGAATTCCATAGAGAAATTCAAAGCAGCCCTGACGGCTGTGTCGGTCAGCTCAGGCTGCCGGGAGGAAGTTCCGCGGGCTCCTGGCTTCACAGGAAGCTCTGTCTCGCAGCTGCAGCGGCTGGGGGTTCAAGATCAAGGTCCCCCGCCCGCTCGGTGTCCGCTTTTGGTTCCTGGCTTGTAGTGGGCCCCCTCTCACTGTGTCCCCTCGTGGCCAGTTTCCAGAGCTGTACAATAGCGCGAAGACAATAAACTCCTGCAAAACACCAGAAGCGCATGCTAGACAGGACAGCCGCTCGTCTCCGGAGCCTGTTTCAAGTCTTTGCCCATTCTTCCCAACAGAATGAATCAATGAATCGGCGAGAGCAGCTGTCTGGGACGCCACAGAAGGGAGGCCTCTCCCCAGACACCCCCACTTCCATCTCTCCCAGATTGCACTTCTGTACACTGCGCTCACCAGACGGTGGGTGGTCCCATAGCCCAGCCCTGAGGCCATTCAACTGCCCATCAGCTCCCACCCACACTGGCACTAACCCCATCCAATTCCCCTTTACTGGTCTGTGGAATATCTCCTGTGTCTAGAACGGAGAAAGGAGGTTGCATTACACTCCACAGGGCGGGGAGGGGGGATGACACCAAACAGGTGACAGCAAAGGATCAGGTGGGCTGGGCCAGGAGGGCCCTGAGGTGCATGGGCTGCCTAGCAGCTCGCATTGGCACTGGCCCCTAGAGACCGCCTCGATCCAGAAGCGGGGGAGCACTCCGCGGTCCAGCAGAAGGGGGGCGCTCCCAGGCTGCTCAGGGCCGAGGGCTCCTATGCCAGCTGGTCCTGCCAGACCTGAAGCTGCGCCTGACGGAGGACTGAACACGTCCCAGGAAGCCCAGGCATGCGGCAGAGGCTCCCCTGGGAAAACCCAGGGAGCAAACCCCAGGGTTCTGAATGCCAGGCAGAGCCCAGCTGGCTCACTGGAGAGCTCAGCCTGCACTCAGAGCCCGTGTGTGGAAACCTGACCTCGGCTCGGAGACAAACAGCTGCTGATGTCTGGCTACCCCTTCACGAAGGTCAAGTTCTACCTGCAAAGCTGTGTGTGTGGAACAGGTGCATGGTGGTCGCTTCGGGAGGAGCAGTGCCGTCAACTGGCCGAGACCCACATTGACCACGGACGGCCTTGGGGCTGTCACCTGGCCCAGCGCTGGTCTCCAGTCGCTTTGCCAGCCTCCTGGCCACCCACCCACAGGGAGGCCAGAGTCACCTTTCCAGACACATTCGGCCTTGTCCTTTTCCTGCCTAAGGCTTCCAGCTGGCCTCCAGTCACCCGTGGGATAAGGCCCAAGGTGTCCCCAGTGCTCTGCAGCTGTCCCCTGCTCTCCCTACCAGCCTTATCTCTGTCACTCCGTGATCCCCACTTTATTCTCATGCATCACCAGCCCCCGGTGGGTCCCTGCACTGCCCAGGGCATCTCTCCTGCCTTTACTCAGGCTGCTTCCTCTTCCAGGACCACCGCTTCCCACTCTCCCTGCCCAACTCCTGCCCGAGGGGCGCTTGTTTAGTGTATTCCACACACACGCGCTGTCTGCCCCACACGGCCTCCTGTCCATGCCACACCGCTCCTGTTCACGCAGCTGCTCCCCTTCCTCTAGACTCTGGGTGCCTGGAGCACACGGGCTGTTTCTCCTGCTGTTCATGCTCCCCCAGGCCTGCACATCTGCCCCTGTTTCACTTCCAAGGTCCTCGCAGGTGTCATCAAGATAGCATGAGGTCCTGCTGCAGCACAGGGCACCCTAAACCCCACACACTGTGTCCGTCTGAGAAGAGGGAAATCTGGGTGCAGAGACGCGTGAAGCAGAGATGGGCTGGGGCGAGGCTGTGCACGCCAAGGACCCCAGGGATTACCAGGAGCCACCGACATGTTCAGCCAGCCCGTTCCCGTCGCTGGGTACTGCAGCCACAGGAGGAGTCGATTTCTTATTACAGCCCCAAGCCCAGGGCTTGGTTCATCACTCTGGGGTCAGGAAATGCTGGAAGAAGGAGAGAATGAATGATCCTACAGCGCCACTGCCTGGCTCACACCCTGGCCTCAGCTGCGACTGAGCGAGGGAGAGAGGACAGACGGCGGGCTGGAGTACTCACTCTGACCGAGGGACACAGGCTCAGTCTACACATGCTTACTGGGTACTCACCACGTGCAAAGGGCTCTGCCAAGTACAGCGAATCCGACAGGGTTTCCATCCTGACAGACACGAGCTAACCCCATGAAGAATCCAGCCGTGTTCCATGGAACGGATTTGCCTTGGAGAACGCCGGGACGAGGGCTGGCTCAGTGTGGGTGCCTGGGGCAGGGCAGTGGAGGGAAGCAGAAACGCCGGGTTTGCAGAAGACAGGCTTGGAAGGGGACAACTCCAAGCAGAAATGGTGTGGATAAGAGAGATGCGCTCCCTGTGGCTGCAAGACCAGCACTTGGGATTCATAGGGAAGCAGACGCGGGCTGCACTCAGAGTTTCCTGATAGGAGGAGAAGTGAACCAGCAACTCACATACTTGAGCCCTCACTGTGTGTACCAAACAGCGACCCTGGCAAGTGGAGTTTACTACCCAGGCCCAATCTACAGATCGACAAATAAGCTAATTCTGCAGGAGGTCACAGAGACCTGGGGGCTGGCATTTCAGCACTGCGGTTTAAGCCACCGTCTATGTCGCCAGTCTCCCATATGAGTGCTGGTTGAAGTCCTGGCTGCTCCACTTCCAATCCAGCTTCCTGCTAATGGCCTGGGAAAGCAGTGGACAACAGTGCAAGTATTTGAGCCTCTGCACCCATGTGGGAGACCCAGATGGAGCTTCTTTGGCCTGGCCCAGCCCTGGCCATTATGGCCATTTGTGGAATGAACCAATGGAAGGAAGATTCTCTCTCTCTCTCTCTCTCTCTCTCTCTCTCTCTCTCTGCCTTTCAAAAAAAGAAAAAGAAAAAAAAAGACAACTTTTAAAAAAAAGAAGTTATGGAGCCCTGCTGTGGATGCCATTGCTGAGGACAGAGCCAGAGTCAAGGCCAGGGCTGTTGGCCTGCAGGGGAAGACACCACCCCATTATCCCAAAGAGGATGCTGCGTGTCCCCAGAGCAGCGGTTTGGCTCTCCTTGGTGGGATGCAGGAACAGGACGGGCTAGACAGAGACACTACAAAGATGCTCCAACTATGGGCCAGGAAGTTAGGCTAAGAGACCTTAAACTTCCTATCTAACTGGGGCAGGCATTCAGCATGGGGGTTAAGAGGCCCATGGCCCACACTGCCTGGGTCTCAGTTCCAGCTCCTGTCTCAGGTTCCTGGGAGAGGCTGGGAGGCAGCAGTGATGACTCTAGTAATTGGGCTCCTGCAACCCATGTGGGATACCTGGATTGAGTTCCTAGCTCCCAATTTTAAAAAATACTACCTAGGGGCTGGCTCTGTGGCATAGCGAGTAAAGCTGCCACCTGCAGTGCCAGCATCCCATATGGGTGCCAATTCAAGTCCCGGCTGCTCCATTTCTGATCCAGCTCTCTGCTATGGCCTGGGAAAGCAGTGGAAGATGGCTCAAGTCCTTGGGCCGCTGCACCCACATGGGAGACCCAGAAGAAGCTCCTGGCTCCTGGCTTCGGATTGGCCATTGCGGCCAACTGGGGAGTGAACCAGCAGATGGAAGACTTCTCTCTCTGTCTCTGCCTCTCTGTAACTCTGCCTTTCAAATAAATAAATAAAATCTTTTTTAAAAAAATCCTATCTAACCAGAGTGGGATTCACCGCCCCTCCTGTTGCATGGTCACTTCTGCCACCTCCCTCTCAGCATCAGAGCCCAGCTTCACCCTGGGAGGCTGGGCCCAGGACACAGATCACCCGCCTGGGGCCACCAGCTTTCTGGCCCTCAGGGATGCACCTTGAGAGAAGTATCAGGGGACAGGTGTTAGCCAGGCAAGAGGGGACCAGTGTTCCCACTGGAGGGCACAGCATCCTCGGGGGGCCCCTGGCCAAGGAAGTAGGAAAAGCTTCGCAGAGACCACGAGGGAGGGGCAGGGGATGGAGCGCCACCAAGAAGGAACCCAGGTGAAACTGGGACGAGGACGAGGACTGAGATGCATCGTCTCGACAAAAGGCAGCCATGGATAAGGGCCCTGCACACAGAACAGCTAAAGAGCGCTCATAATTCAGCAATTAAGAGATGAATGAGCTACGGTTAAAATGGACAGCGGATTTGAATAGACAGTTCTCCAAAGAAGAAAGACAAGCAGCCAATGAGCACGTACAATGGTGCTCCACATCAGAGCTGTTAGAGAAACGCAGATCAGAGCCATTAGCTTACAGTCCGTGGGACGGAGTTCCCCCTGTGACTCCCACATTCCACGCCTACACAGATCCTCGAGAGAACGGAAAACATCCATCCCACAAAAGCCTGCACACAAGTATTCGCAGCAGTACTGTTCAGAACAGCCCCAAAGCAAAGCAGCCCGAGTGTCCCTCAGCCAATGAAGGGCCAACTAAAACAGGGTGTATCAATAGGACGGAACAGTCTTCAGCCCGAGGAAGGAATGAGCACGGATCCACGTGACAACACTGATGAACTTGGGAAGTGCGGAGCTGGCTTTGCACAGAGGGGGTGCTGAGCCAGTGAGGTTTCTCCAAGGTACAACTGTTGCTAATTGAAAACTTTTCTCAGTTCCCCACTGGGAAGACTTGCCATGTAGTCAACACTGGCACTTTTCAATAGTCTCTATGGAGACTGAGTGGGAGAGAAAAACTTTATGCTAAGTGAAAGAAGATGGACACAAAGGTCACATATTGTACGATTCTATTTCAATGAAATTGAATTGGAATTTGCAAATTAGTCAAAAGTTGATTAGTGGTTGCCCAGAGCTGGACACGTGGACAGGACGCGAGCAGTGGCTGCTAATGGGTACCGGAGTCCTAGGGGGAAGCAGGTGCCCTAAAACAGTGATGATGGTTGTGCAAGTCTGAGAAAATACTGAAAACTAGTGAACAGTGTGCTTCACAAAGGCGAATTTTATGGTAAGTGAATTGTATCTCGATGTTGAAGGGGAACCGCTGACTGGTATTAAGCTGGTGAGGGATCTGATTTGTATGCATTTTAGAAAGAATGTGCTCAGGTCAGTGCTGTGGCGTAGTGGGTGAAGCTGCCGCCTTAAAAAAAAGAGGGAGAGAATGAAAAGAGAGCAGATTGAGCTCAGGCACAGGTCAAAAGCAGACCAGAGGCAGAGAAGGTACAACCGTAAGGAGGCTGTTTCCCGTCGTGCTGACCCATACGAGGGACGGCACAGTGGAACTGGACAGAAAAGATCAGACCTCGCAATCAGACCCGGCTCCCTGCTGATGCGCCTGGGAAGGCAGCAGGTGGTGGCCCAAGTTCTCGGGCCACTGCCACCCACGTGGGAGACCCGGATGGAGTTCCTGGCCTCAGTCTGCCCAGCCTCAGTGAACCAGTGGATGGAGGAGTTTTCTCTCTCTCTCTCTCTCTCTCTCTCTCTCTCTCTCTCTCCCCTTCCTTCTCCTTCTCTTACTCTGCCTTTCAATAAATAAATATTACTTTAAAAAGAGACTGTGGTGGACATGATAGGAATGTGGCTACCTCACCTCCGAGGGAAGATCACACAAGGATGAACCTTGTCACAGTGGTGGCACAGCGGCCACCATGTCCTGAGGAGGCCCACAGCCCACACCCGAGCGCCTAGGACTGAGTCTTGCCTCTGCGGCTGATCCAGCTTGCTGTTCACGTGCCTGGGAGGCAGCAGGTGATGGCTCAAGCATGTAAGCTACCTGTGTGGGAGACCCGGATGGAGTTCCAGACTCCTAGCAATGGCCTAGCCCAGCCTTGGCTGTTGCAGGCATTTGGAGAGTGAACCAGTGGACAGGAGATTCTCTCTCCTCCCCCTCACCCATCTCTCTCCCTCCCTCCCTCTCTGCCTTTCAAATAAATAAACATTAAAAATTAAAAAAAGGGATACACCTTTCTTTCCCTCAAGTTCATTCTCCCCCTCCCCCTTCTCCCTCCCCTCCTCCTCCCCCCTCTTTCTCCCCTCCTCCTCCCTCCATTCCCCTGCCTCTCCCCCCTCCTTTTCCCCCTCCTCTCCCCCTCCTCCTCCCCTCCCCCCCTTCCCCTGCCTCTTTCTCTCCCTCTCCCTCTCTGCCATGCAAAGCCAGAAAACACACCATGAGAACCCCAGGCATCTCCATGAAGCAGCCCACATGGAAAGGAACTGAAACCTCCTTCAACAGCCAGCACCAACTTGCTAGCCAGGTGAACGGGCCAAGCAAGCAGGCCAGGTGAGTGGCCCAGCTCGGGCTCGGAAGGTGATCCTCAGATTGGCGATGCCCTCAGGTCACTCCAGCCTGGCCCTCCGAGTTCCCTGGTTGAGGCTGTCGTAATCATTGGCAGAGACACGCTGTCCCTGTCCAGCCCCTGACCACAGGCGGTGAGAGACAATGAAAGTTATCACTGTAGGGGCCGGCGCTGTGGCACAGGGGGTTAAAGCCCTGGCCTGAAGCGCCAGCATCCCATATGGACACCAGTTCTAATCCCAGCTGTTCCACTTCATATCCAGCTCTCTGCTGTGGCCTGGGAAAGCAGCAGAGGATGGCCCAAGTCCTTGGGCCCCTGCACCCACATGGGAGACCTGGACGAAGCTCCTGGCTCCTGGCTTCGGATCAGCTCAGCTCCAGCTGTTGCGGACGTCTGGGGAGTGAACCAGCGGACGGAAGACCTCTCTCTCTGTTTCTACCTCTCTCTGTAACTCTGTCTTTCAAATAAATAAAATAAATCTTAAAAAAAAGAAAGTTATCACTGTTTTCAGCCACTGGGTCCTGGGATAATTTGGAGGCAGAAGTAGATAAGCCTACAGTTCCAAAGCTCCTGTTTCTACAGACTGCAGAGGACATTAAATCCTAGTGACACTTCCCTGCTTCCCGTTCTTTTTTTTTTTTTTTTTTTTTAATTTATTTGACAGGTAGAGTTTTAGACAGTGAGAGAGAGAGAGAGAGACAGAGAGAAAGGTCTTCCTTTCATTGGTTCACTTCCCAAATGGCCACTACGGCCGGCGCTGTGCTGATCTGAAGCCAGGAGCCAGGAGCTTCTTCCAGGTCTCCCACGTGGGTGCAGGGGCCCAAGCACTTGGGCCATCCTCTGCTGCTTTCCCAGGCCATAGCAGAGGGCTGGATCAGAAGAGGAGCAGCCGGGATTCGAACTGGCGCCCATATTAGATGCTGCCACTGCAGGCGGCGGCTTTACCCGCTATACCACAGCGTCGGCCCCATTTTTTTTTTTTTCCAGTATTACATTAACATCTGATTAATCTTGCTTACTGGGCCTCTTGCCTCCCACGGGTCCTGACTCACGCATTCTGCCCTCCTTCTTGGGCCGGATTCCTTGAGGAGCAGCCACAGTCATGGGGTGGGGGTGGGGCTGCTGGGGGCCAGGACGGCTCAGGCCCTCTCACTACCTTAAGGGCCTCCGTCTGCTCCTGCTGCTGCAGAACATGCTGGAAGTCCCAGAGGGAGCAGGGCACTGACTGCCTCGGGCCCCGCAGCCTGGGGCTCTGCCATGATCTCCATCACACCTGGGGTTCTGACCCCTAAGTGACAGCTGGGGGAGTGACAGAGACCAGGCCCAGCAGCTCCTTCTAAACTCCAGCTCTCTCCCCGACTGCTTCCCGTGTGGTACGGCGCTAGCCCAAGCCCCCACGCTGTGGTCACTGCTTTTCCCACACATACATTCTTAGTCATTTGGTCACAGGCAACAACTGATCCTGGGCATTTGCCGAGAACTGGCTGGACTGCCCCACGACAGGGCAAACAAGAAGAGGGACCAGCGTACACAAATAACTACAGTGCCAACGTAGAAGCTAGGTGCGCACACGTCTAATGGTAGCACGGAAGATGAAGCAATTGCCTCTCCCTGGAGGCCCTCGGGTGACACAGGCAAGCTGTGCACGGAGCGTCCCAGCAGATGGAAGAGCACGTGCAAGAACCTGGATGGGGCAGGAGCGATGTAAACAGAGGAGATGGAACGGATCTACAGACAGAGAGGCGTTGTTGGAGCTGCACAGTGTTGGGCAACATGCATGAGCTCATCTGCCTCACGGCCCCGCCTTCGTGGAACTGTTGAGATTAAATGAGATAGAGCGAAGCCTCAGCACCGTGTCTGGCACGCAGCAAGCCACGAAGTAAGCAAGCGTGGTGTTGCTGCAATCACTCATTAAACCTTCAACCCGACACTGGACACGAGACCTGATCTGAGAGCCAAAGTTCAGTCGCGTCGGTTTCTGCACGTGCAGAAAGATACATGCAATCAACATCCACGCCGACCCTCGACCCTCCACCCTCGACCCTCCGGGCTTCACTTTTTTTAAAAATTCCACCATCGGTACTGAGTTTAAACTAAGCCTTTTTGGAATTTGAAACTAAAGTGTTCTCTCTTAAACTCTGGCTCCTGCAAATCAAAATCGCTTTGCTGGTAGACTATTGTACCGGCCTCCGCCTTGAGTTAAAAAATCCATTCAGCAACTCAGCCGGCTTCTTTGTTCTAGGCTGTAGCTGCCCTCCCCAGAGACATCAATGCCATTGACTCCGCAGACAGCAGGTACACAGCGGTTTAATATTTCAAACGTATTGTTCAGCCTTTATTGAAACCGACAAATTTCGGGATGGAGTTTGGGTGATGGGGACAGGGCACGAGGAGGGTCTGCGGTACAGGAAGGATTGCCTTTAAAGGATCTTCCTGGGTGCCTCTGGAGAGGAACATTCCTGACGAAATGCACCGGTAGGAGGAGAATCAGACGGCCCTTAGGGTTAGGCTTATGTCTTTGTCCCATCAGTCTTTGCTAACTGAGCACCTACTATGTGCTAGGTTCAAAAGCCTGGGACAATTCAGCTTCTATGACTTCCCCCAGGCACCTCATGGGACAGCGGTGGAACTGTCCCAGCTCTTGGGAAGCTGGAGGTTATGACATGATTCGGAATTTAGAAAAGTGAGTATTTACTGCTACCAAGATTCCTGGCATTTGCAACCTGCCCTTGGGAAACATTCTACTGTTCGTATTTTCTCTAATAGGAGCAGAGGCAGGCACTGTGGTGCAGGGGGTTAAGCCACTGCTTAGGAACCTGCAGCCCATGCCTGAGAGCCAGTTCCAACCCCCGCTACATTGTTTCTCATCCAGCTTCCTGCTAATGTGCCTGGAAGCAGATGGTGGCCCATGTGCTTGGGTCGCTGCCACTCACATGGGAGACCCCAGTGGAGTCCCAGGCTCCTGGCTTTGTCGTGGTCCAGTCCTGGCTGTTGCGGGCATTTGGAGAGTGAACCAGCAGATGGAAAATCTCTCTCCCTCTCTGTGGCTCCCTCCCTGTCTTTGTCACTCTGCCTTTCAGATAAATAAATCTTTAAAAATAGTTCCATCTGAAAATAACAGCATATGTTTGGGAACGTTAAGAAGATCCAAAGAAAGGCGTTAATTCAGCCTGAGCTGAAACTAAAAGAATCATTCCTCAGCTCTGGGGGGGAGGGGGCAGGGCCCCAAGCAGATGGGAGAGCCCAAGGACAGGAGTTGGCTACCAGGGCTGGTCTGGAGAGGGACAGGACGGGGAGCTTAGCTCTTGCCCTTTCAGTACCCAACTCGTCATCTGAGCTGTGTCCCAGCCAAGCCAGCATCCTTCTGGGAGGAACACCTTCTCTTCGGTGTGGGATTCTGGGAGGGAGAATCCTAGGCAGAGAGG